AACATAAATGCAAAAATGTGCAACAAAATACCAGAAAGCCGAATTCAACAGCATATTAAAAGGATGATGCAGCATGGCTAAGTGGAATTTATCTTTGGGATGCAAGGCTAGTTAAACATATGAAAATTTTTTTTATTTCATCATATTATGGTGGTACAAATATTGTTAAGGTTACATATATTGCTCTTGCCACACCCCCACACCCCCCGCCCCCCTAAGTGAGAGCTTCCAGCGCGTCCATCCCCCAGGTGGTGCGCATGGCACTCATTATGTAAGTATACACCCATCCCCCCCTCCCACCTGCCCAACACCTGAAAAAAATTTTTTTTTAATTTTGGTTACATTTTATATCTTTGCCTCTCCCTAGGAAGGGTTAGAGGTATGCCCTTCCCCTCCACAGTGTTCACCACATCCCTCAGATGTGGGTCTGCCCCCTCCCCGAATCCCTGGTGAGCACTACCACTATTTGAGCACCATAGTTTTAATCAGTCAGTACCAGTTTGATGGTGAGTACATGTGGATCCCATTTTCCTGATCTTGTATTGCCTCGCTTTGGAAACATATGAAAATTAATTAACATATTGCATCACATTAACAGAGCAAAGGATAAAAATCACCTGATCATCTCAATAGATGCAGAAAAAAAATTTGACAAAATTAAATACCATTTCATGATAAAAACTCCCAACAACTAAGAATAAAAGGCTATTACCTCAACATAATAAAGGCTAATTGGAACACTGGCACACTGTTGGTGGGAATGTAAAATGGTATAGTGAATGGAAAACAGTATGAAGCTTCCTCAAAAAATTAAAAATAGAACTACCATATGATCGAGCTGTCCCACTTCTGGGTATTTATGAAAAATAACTGAAATTAGGAACTCAAAGAGATTTTTCACTTCCATGTTCATTATAGCATTATTCACAATGGCTACAGTGTGGAAGCAGCCTAAATGTCCACCAATGGATGAATAGGTATATAAAATTTGATATATACACACAATGGAATATTATTCAGCCTTAAAGTGAAGGAAATTCTGACACATGCTACAACATGGGTGAACCTGGAGAACATTATGCTAAGTGTAATATGTGAGTCACAGAAGGACAAATTCTCCGTGATTCCACTTACACGAGGTATCTAAAATAGTCAAACTCAGAGAAGCAGAGAGAGTAGAATGGTGATTGCCAGGGGCTGGGGCAGAGGGAAATGAGGAGTTGCTGTACAACTAATACAAAGTTTCAGTTATGCAAGATAAATACATTCTAGCGATCTGCTGTTCAACATCCTGCCTGTAGTTAAAAATACTTCACTGTATACTTAAAAATTTGTTGAGGGTAGATTTCATGTTAAGTGAGTAGATCTCATATTACTACAATAATAAAGATATAAATATATAGAGATATAATATAGATATAACATAATCAAAAGATATAATATAATCAAAACCTTTATATGATCACACTGTAACATCTTTGTAAAATTATGTGTATCTTTCCATGCATATTTAAAAATTAAGTCAAACATAAACTAAAAAGTAAAGATGATTTGTATCTTGAAAAGAGGTATATTTTAAACTGAATCAAGGAAACAAATTGCAGCTAGCTCCCTTTTCTGATGAACTCATATTTATACTTTCTTAGCATGATAAGAATCTGTAGTTTGTGTTTCTTGGGAAAATCAATGATATCCTCTCCATTACAGAGATTTTTGAAGCACCCATGAAGTTTTTAATACCATTGATTTTCCATGTTCAGGAATCCCTCCAAAGCTGATTTCAGAAAGAAAAAAAAAATTAACAGAAAAAAAAATAACAGATAGTTATTGTTTAATGATTTTCTGATTATCTGAAACATTTATGATTAATAGGTATAGTGATAACTGTTTTCAAATCTATTTTGCATTTTTACATTGTTTTAATTTCATATGAAGTTTTAAGAGGCAGATTTATCATTGTCTTTATCATATTTAGATCGATAGGTTAAATTTCATTCTTAAAATTTGCTAGACATTTGACTCTATCATTTTTTGATGGGAAATACCATATCTTTATTTCCATGGTGAATGTTGATCTGTGTAACCATGTATCCTACTCTGATGGCATTTGACTTGTTTGTTTTGTTTTTGAGACAGAGGCTTGCTCTCTCGCCCTAGCTAGAGTGTAGTGTTGTCTTCATAGCTAGCTCACTGCAGCCCCAAACTCCTGGGCTTAAGCAATCCTCTTGCCTCAGCCTCCTGAATAGTTGGGACTACAGGCATGTGCCACCAAGCCCACCTAATTTTTCTATTTTGTTGTTGTTGTTGTTGAGACGGGGGTCTTGCTCTTGCTCAGGCTGGTCCTGAACTCATGACCTCAATCGATCCTCCTATCTCGGCCTCCCAGAATGCTAGGATTACAGGTGTGAGCCACTGTGTCTGGCTGCATTTGACTTTATAGAAATCTTTCCAGTAGATAGACTTTAGGGTATGGGCTTTGCCATAACACTGATAAGTTAGAATAATAAAACCATTGATAATCTCATTCAAGATCAGGATCCTCAGCTGGTCATCTCTGCTGAGGCCAAATGAATGTTGAAATATTCTGGTTTGCTCACTCTGATAGATGTGTGAATAAGAAGAATGGTCAGGACAAGTGCTGCATTTCAGTGAAGGGCAGAGAGGAATGTGGGCAATATCCTGCAAACATTATTAGATCTTTAAAAATCCTAAGAAACAGTATTTTTTTTTTTTTTGAGACAGAGTTGCCCAGGCTTAAGTGAATGCCGTGGCATCAGCCTAGCTCACAGCAACCTCAAACTCCTGGGCTCAAGCAACCCTTCTGCCTCAGCCTCCTGAGTAGCTGGGACTACAGGCATGTGCCACCATGCCCAGCTAATTTTTTCTATATATATTAGTTGGCCAGTTCATTTCTTTTTATTTATAGTAGAGATGGGGTCTCGCTCTTGTTCAGGCTGGCTTCGAACTTCTGACCTCTCGAGCAATCCGCCCGCCTTGGCCTTCCAGAGTGCTAGGATTACAGGCGTGAGCCACTGTGCCTGGCTAGAAACAGTATTTTGATGTGCATGTACTTGGCTCTCCGTTACTTAATAAATCAGGTTAGAATATATGTTTGTGGCGTCTCCAAGTTATCCCAGGTCACCTACTCTGTTTAGGACTGTCTGAAAGCAAGAAGAAATCTCTGGAGTTCACAAACACCAGATGTAGCACAGAAAAATGGTCCAAAAGGGCACATTCTAAAATGTCATTTGCTATGTTGATAGCTCCTCATCTATAAACTTCCAAAACTTAATGGCGTAATGACTGACTGTATTTGAAGACTAACATCCATGAGGGACAAAATCTCTCAGCAGCGCGGGCATGTTAGCTACTACTGCGTGACAGTCACCTACAGGAAACGTTTCACCAGAATTCTGGATTACTAAGAAAGGGTATTTCTCTATGTAGCAGTGTGGGGCGCGGTGTTAACGCCATTGCAAGATGGCGCCGGCTTCCTGGTCACACCCATACTACAAGACTGATAAACAGGGTGAACCGCGCAGGTGTAGGGGCTTTTTCCTGTCTCTCATCAAGTATGCTAATAAGGGCTCTTGCGTGAGCCAATCAGATTCTGCCTAATGAACTTAGTGCCTATATAAGCCCGCTCCGAGAGCTCCTCGGCGTCTTCCGCATGTAACCAGTTAAGCAATCCCCATTAAAGCGCTGTCAGAAGAACTCCGGTTGCCGCATTTTCCTTGCTGGCGAGGCGGGCTCGACATAGCAGTACTTTCTCTAGTGGGTTACATTGCATATTGATAAAATCTGTAATATTTAAAAAGTAATTTTGGCCGGGCGTGGTGGCTCACGCCTGTAATCCTAGCACTCTGGGAGGCCGAGGCAGGAGGATCATTTGAGCTCAGGAGTTCGAGACCAGCCTGAGCAAGACTGAGATCTCGTCTCTTTTAAAAAAAATAGAAAGAAATTAGCTGGACAACTAAAAATATATAGAAAAAATCAGCCGGGCATGGTGGTACATGCCTGTAGTCCCAGCTACTCAGCAGGCTCAGGCAGGAGGATCACTTGAGCCCAGGAGTTTGAGGTCACTGTGAGCTAGGCTGACGCCACTGCACTCTAACCCAAGCAACAAAGTCAGACTATGTCTCACACACAAAAAAGTAATTTTCACACCTCACAATCAGTATCCAAATAGCTGGATTCTTGCTTTGCCTGGAAATGATGAGTGTGCTTGTCTGTCTGTGGTGATGCTGACCTGCATGCTGAGGAGCTCAGTGAGGATAGAGTGCCAGGGGTGGCCGTCCAGCAGGCTGCCCAGGGTGAGGGCCACACAGGAGTCAGTGGGGCACAGGTTAGCATTGCCTAAGAAGAGGGGGAAAGGTAAAGCACCACCCCAGCCAGCTCAGTGTTGTGGTTCAATGGCTTAGCATTTCTCACAACCACCACACTTTCCTCACATCCTTCTGTCCCAAGAACTGGCCAGCTGGTTTTACCTAAATACAATCTATTGACCACCTGTGCAATTGCTTCTATCTTGTTTGCATTATTATTACTCACTGTGTTTTCATTTTTCTTGAGAATGTTTTCTGCTTAGGACCTCATTAATACTATTACCTCAAAATTACAGTGATACACCCTTGTTTTTTATATCAGGTTATTTATTGAACATCTAATAATGGGCTTATATGATTGCCAAACTATAAAACTTTACACGTGAAAGAATATTTAACATATATGGAAGTTGCTTTTAATATACCTCAACTACAAGGTGACTATGTTTCCATTACCTACACAGTTCCTGCTATTAATTATAATTTCTTGGAGGAACAGGAGTTCCTGTTCCTTTCATCTTCAACTGTGTTCTAGTTTTAGGATAAATGAACTACTTAACTGTGAAAAAATTAAGTATAAAAAATATTTTCATCTAAATGATCACATTTTCAAAAACATCACTTTATAGTTTTTAACTGTATTAAGTATTAAGATGAGTTTCCCTTTAATTCCAGAGTAACATGTTTGCCATTGTGCCCTTCTCTGTGGAGTAGAATCCCATCATTCGACTGTTTTAATTTTCAAAAAAATAACTTCTTTTTTTGGACTCATGGATTTTTCTTTTAATGTGAACAGCAAAAGTAACCATCAAAAGTAACCATGCTGCAATGGAAGACATTAAAAAGTGATTGTAGGTATAATATATTTTTGTTAATGTGTTAAAATGTATAAGTTGACACACAAATATACATATATAGTGTATCTCTGGTTTGTTTAAAATAGGGAGGAAACCCTACTACTATTTTCCTCTTCATATTGGAAGTTGATACACTTAAACTCCACTATTTGCCTTTTCTGATATTTTTCCTAAAATGTGTCATACAGAAATATTTTTGTTAATCTAATTCCAATTGTTTCTGTCTTTGTATTGGTCTATTCTCATTCTGTAAAAAATGAAGATCAGGAAAGATGCTGCAGCCAATCTCCCATGCATAAAATCTCCCTGTATAATTTGTAAGCATTCAACATTACTGAGTGTTTTTTGAAGGTTATAATAGTTCTCACTCACTGATAAAAGGTGTCACTCAACATAAATAGCTTAACTGTGAGCCAGTGGTTTTGACTTTCAATAATTCTCACAAGAACACCCACTTCAGTATACATTTGGTTATAAAAAGCCCCACATACACACCCTAGATTCAGTAAATACCACTGTAAGCTCACATAAGGGGGCCTCAGTAAACTGGTGTGTATTTTTCTTGGCACTGCGGCTGAGTCGCAGCACGCACAGGTGCACCTATTTTGTGTCATGCCTCAAGAACACTGCACACGGGGTTCTGCTGCAGCTGGTCAATGCTACAATGATGCCTTTTTCTCCCAACTTGCTGGAAATGTCTTATCTTTTTAATAGGAAGTTCACTTGCATCAGTTGATATTAAAAAGCTATATTTTATCATGAATATAAACAGAATCAGTCCATACCAATTGCAGACAGAATGATAGATGCACAAAGGAATTCATGTCACCCAGAAAAATCTCTCGTTTTTCATATTTGACAAGTTGAAAAAGTCATAATTGTCCTTTAAAAATACATATGAGTAATAAATGAAGTTCTAAGAAAAAGTCAATAAAATATGAAGCTGATGTCTTTCAAGCAAGTAATATGATATTGTTTATTTAATTTCACAAAAAGTTGTGGCTAATGTACATATATGAACATGTATTGCATTCAGATTAGCTAAAATATTTACATTAAACCATTTGTGTTCAGAGCTCAAAATAATCATCCATTTTATGCAGCTACCTTTATAAAATTCAGAAGTTTGATTCACATACATGGAGTATAATATAGAAACACTGCATTCTGTCTAAAAATCATGTAAACCAAACTATTTTTGTTGCATAATTAAATCAATGTGCCTGATAAAAATATAACTCATCAAATTCAAATGAAGTCTTCCAGCTTATTAGATGGCAATAAACTCATAAAAACCTGATAAAGAAAAATTTAAATACTTCCACATTTTAGCAGTACAGTTGGTCTCTATGTGTATGCCACTGAAAGGCAATGGTAATAATTAAGGCTTATGTTTGCAGTTAGCTAACAAGAAATTTTTGTTCCACAAATGATTTTGCCAAGATTATTTTGGTCAAAAGGTTTTTGTCCTCATCTTTCCTGTTTCCACTATTGCTTAGAAATAGCTACATTGATCCTCTATGCATCAGAATCTCCTAGAGTGTTTGCTAAACACAGATTACTGGGCCCCATTCCAGAGTTTGTGACTCACTAGGTCTGGGGTAGGACCTGAGAATTTGCAACTCTAACAAGTTCCCATGTGATGTTGATACACAGGTCTGGTGACCATGTTTTGAGAACCACTGCGCTAACACACTAAAATTATGTTTCCTAGGATATTCCCCTCAGGTAATTGGGGTAGTGAAATTTTATTGGGTAACTGAGACACAAAATAGTGGCATTATAATTCTTTTGTCCTAATGCTTTGACTTCCTCTCTAATGTGATTACTACCACTTGTACGTAGAACAATCAGCCAGATATTAATCCTCAAATTATATTTACAAAGCATATTCAACATATGGACAGATGTTTTCAATTTATAGAGTGACCAAAATAAAACATAGATATGTAGCAAAGTAAGTATAGCAAAATCAATTAAAAAATAATATACCCTGTGACAGTTCTAGTAGTTTAACTACTAGTTTAAACTACAGTTTAAAAACTTAAATGCTAATGAATTTACACTCAATTTAGAAGGTTAAAAAAAACGACACATAAAATTTAGGAATTGCTTTTAGAAGTATGGAATAGTAGCCCGCTCATTTGAAATTATCCTCATCCCCCTAAAACCTGTTATTGTACAGCCCCATGAGCTAATTTTTAAAGGATTGTTAAAAAACAAACATAAAAGCAAAAGATAAGTGATAGCATATGTGGCCTGCAAAGCCTGAAATACTTACTAGCTGGCCCTTTGCTAAAGAAGTTTGCCACCCCTTGCTCCCCAGAATTATCCATCCATGGTTATGTGCCTGGGTGCGGAGTGTTTAGAGGTGGCCATGACGAAAACCAGCTCACAACCAGATATTTTAGCCCACATTTGATTTCAAAAGTGAAAACATTATTTTGTTGAGAATCTCACATATTAAATTATTTCTGGTGACTTCCATACTGCATATTCCAGTACACTCCTTTTATGGCTATCCTTAAAATACATACTTCTGTGTATAATATAAAATATTGGTTCTGATATAAACAGTCTTCTGTAGCTTGAAATTATTTGTCAAGAGTATTCATAATACAGTTTTATTACTAAGAGATTATTATTTCCATTTTCTCTCTGCTTGACCTAGTTACATTCATTCCACAGGTACAGCTCCATCCCATTAATACTGGTGTAGCACAAAAGACAGACAAAATGACTGCCTGGGTCACCATGGGTCACTTTGAGAAGGTTTTCATGACATGGAGCTGGAAAGAGGAACTGAAGAACAGACTCAAAACCATGAGCTTCAGTAATATGCTGTGGTATACATGGCATCTTGCTGTCCTTGTCCCCCTTCTTCCAAACACACGTACCAGGCCTATGCCCCTTTTGCTCATGTCGGGGACCTTAATAATAATCTTGCTTCCCATATTTCCCACCATTGGCATTCTACAACATCCCTATTTGCCTATGGTCCAAGAGGCCCTCCAACTTCTTAAAACTGTGGACTCCTCTTGATCCTATGCAAATTGTTGGAAATGTGCCAATATTTTCCCACAAAAGGGGCTTGTCACCATTCCTGTCCCACCTCTTGAATGGAATCAGCTAGAATCTTGTGTAATTCACTCCTATTGTGATTGCTTTGGGTGAGCTATGAACCCAACAGTTCAATTCGAAATAGACCACCTCTACTTAGCTCTCTGTATAACAAAGCTAGCTTTAATCTGTCGCGCCCGCCTCGCCAGCAAGGAAGACGCGGCAACAGGAGTTCTTCTGACAGTGCTTTAATGGGGTTCCCTTTAGACTTACATGATGCGGAAGACCCAGCCCGGCAGCACGCAGGCCGCTATATACCCCAGAAGCACAACCCCTAAGCTGCGATAGGCCGCTCAACTGTCGAGCCACCAAAGCATTAGTCCATATCAGGACCCTTTGTTTGCATTCTCGCGCCACAGGGCAACCGACAATTGTGCGTGCGCTGAACTTGTTAGCTGCTCTAGGCAAAGCCGGAAACAGGCGCCAACTTGTAATGGCGTTGACACCGCGCCCCACATTAATCTCCAAGGAGCAATATTCACTTCAGTTTCCCTTGCACAGCAAGCTTCCGTCTGCCTAATCAGTTCAGCTCGCCCAGGTCCTTTTGTGGGAAAGTTTTCCAATCACTCCCAGGTTGCAATCATACGTTCCATCTACCTAATAATCGTGTTTGGGTTATAACTACCCACCCGACTCCCTTTTCATAACATATACTTTCCTAAACCCTACAATGTCACTAATAATTGGACCCAAACAAACTAGTTAGGAAACAATGTTTGTTCCCCACCCCCACAATCATGCCCCTTCAAGGGACGTAACTTTTGGTTCCAGCCTATTATATCAACCAATGGGGATCTTACAAACTGAATACCCCTCAGGCCTACGAGATAGGATGGAACCTCACTATTCCTTCCTTCAATTGGGCCTATAACCACTCTACTATTCCTAAATATACCTCATCCTTGCCTCTGTTGGCTAGAGTGACTTTAGTTCTACTTATGAAGGCATAGAACAGTTTGGGACCCACCTTAGAATGCCTTATTTCAATATATCCATAGATATTTGTCTAAATCCCCCAAATTGAACTTTCTCTGTGGATCAAATGCTTATCATGCCTCTCGGCAAACTGGACAGGAACTTGTACTCTGACATACGTAATTCCTAACCTTACTCTTATTAATGATGCTATGCCTCTTCCCATTTATTCCTCATACTCCCAAAGCACACGTGGTACCTGTGTCATCATTATCTGGACTTGCTGGTCACCGGCTGGCTTACTTAATTCAATCTTTTCAGTGCAAAGACTGTCTTTAGAGATAAGCCAATTGGCCATGGAAACAGCCCGAGAGATTACTATTTTACAACAACAAATACATTTCCTGACAGGAGTTGTCTTGCAGAATAGGCGAGCTCTTGATCTCTTAATTGCCAGTCAAGGAGGCACATGTGCCATGCTAAAAGAAGATTGTTGTTTCTTTGTTAATCAGAGAAAATACAAACCTTTAAAGACATTCTGAAAAAGGTGAATGCACTTCACGAGCAGGGAACTTCTGGTGGATTTGACTGGTGGGATTTTAAACTCCATGTGTTTAAAATGGCCATGGTTCTCTTGGTTAACACCTGTGGACGGAAAAAATCCAAAACCTGAAATATTTGAAAGAAGTTTATTCTGGGCCAAATTTGAGGACCATGACCCGGAGCCACTCTCAAGAAGCCTTGAGCATGTGGGCTCCCTGTGGTTGGGTTGCAGTTCAGTTTTATACACTTTCAGAGAGACAGGGGTTACAGGTAAAGTCACAAATTAATACATGAGAGGCATACATTGGTTTGGCCCAAAAAAGTGGGACATCTCGAAGTAAGGGCTTACAGGTTATAGGTGGGTTTAAAGATTTCTTGGCATCATAAATCATGGCAATTGGCTGAGAGAGTTAGACTTTATCTAGAAGACCAGAAAGGATATGCTTATTTTAAGATAAGGGTGTGAGCACTCTGGGAGGTCCAGACAGGAGGACATTTTAAATTTACCATAGGCGCCTGCTAGGATGCTTTAAGATGCTTTAAATTTATGATAGGGGCTTCTTATCTTTTAGGTGATGTTAATGCCATACCAGAATCAGATTGGGAAGTAAACCACCGCTTTATTTGGTTAACAAAAGCCGCTTAGTGGGAATTTACAGTTTGACCCAGCTGGCTTCCTTAGGAAGGAGTTTTGCTTTTTAGCAAAAGAAAAAGATCACAGTTCAGTCCTCACACCTTTCTTAGGACCCCTAGTGACTCTGCTTTTGGTGCTCATTTTCGGACCATGCATTGTCCACTATCTGGTAACATTCATACAAGACGGAATTCAAGCTCTAGCTATTTCTCTCCAGTGAAACCCCATCCTGCCTCTACTCTCACTTTTAAGACCATGGGTTTTCAACCCCTCTCCCTAAATGACTATCAAACGGACTCTCAGACAGGGAGAGTACTACAACCCTGAGTCAGCAGGAAGCAGTTCTAGAAGAACAGATCTTTGTTCAAGTACCCCAGTTTCTGAGTTCATTAATAAGAATATTCTAACCGAAGACAGGAGAGGGGGATGAAATGATGGCCTTGCTAATAAACCGCAGGGATCTTAACTCACTGTCTTTAAGATTAATCATGAGTCTTAACCACCCTTGGAGATTTTTTTCAACAGCATTTAGAAAGAGCTGAGCAGACAGAAAGGAAGTGTAAATCCTCCTCTTTTACACTTGCCAGACCAGTTCAGCTAGACTATTGATAAGCCAGTTTCCAGGAGAAGAAAAAACACCCTAACATCTCATAGCTGTCTCCTGATAATCGGTCTACAGCAATAAGTTTTTCTTTGCCCCTTTACAACGCCCCCCAGTAAAAAGTCCAAGCTGCTTGGCCTCAGGGCCAGCATTCTGTGGGGAGTTAGCTATGCTCCCAGCAAAGATCAGGTCTCTTTGGCAGGGTCATAGTAAGGGATAAGGAAAATAATAATAGAATATAGAAATAAAAGAATGCACAGAGACGAAATTACAAAAGACAAAAGTTGTATAAAGTATAGATTTTATAATAGTTCGGGAAATCGGTAGATCTCCAGTATTTCTGTGAGCTGTGAGGCCCTGAGTGAAGTTTCACATCAGTATTTATTGGTACAGTGATCGGTTGCCAGGGGTAACAGAGTTACATAATAACAGTTCATTTTAGGTTAAAAGTCTCCCCCCAAAATTTCTAGAGATCCCTTTAATTAACTCTATCTACATGTGCAAACGGTTACAAAATCTTTCTAAGACAAACTTCTAAGTCCTAAGATAAAACTATCACTTAGCAGAAAGGCTAAACAAATATAGTGGCTGTATATTTCTTTATCTAGTTTTTGTTGATTGAGACAGGTAGTCAGGAGTGAAGCAGGAACTGTCCCTTAGGCTGATTTCTTTGAGCCACAGGTGTCTATCTCTGTCAGGCTGGCACTCTTTGATCAGTTCTCACCTTGTGGCCTTATGCCAAGCTTTGTCATACAGAACCAAGCGAAAAGCCAACAGTCTGAGACACAAAAGCGACAGGTCTGAGACACAGAGTCACTGTGGAAAGCTGCCCTGCTGAGGTGAGGCAGCTTTTGATATATGAACTAACACGTTCACATATTCCTTCAGGGCAAAGCCTTGTGAAACTACTGAAATCTTATATGTCTCTATAGAGCAACATTTCTGCAGTGCAACACCATGCTTTGTAGAATAATGAAAACAATGTTTTCCAGCAAAAACTGGGATTGGTAATATAAATCTAAGGGTGCTAAAACACACATACACATATGTGTATCTGAACACACATATGTGTAACTGAAATTCAATTGTTAGGCACTGAGCATGCAGTCATATTTTTCTACCTTCTCTTTTACGCATCTTTGAAACAGGTAATGTTTAGGGACATTTTTTATTATTTTGAATAATTCAAAAATAATTTTTAAACAGAAAATTCACGCAGTTATTTATCACTTCTCTATTTTGCATATGATTATTAATAAACAACTGGTTGTCTAGACTTTTCGGCATATTATATGTTCAAGTGGGTGAGGGGTAGGTGCTTATTTTTTCTGAACAGCAGATTTACCATAATAGATGTAGCTGTTGCAAATTGCATATGTAAATTATTTTAAACATATATCTTTTTTGGTAATAGATTTCAAATAAATTTGTATCATATTAGAATATTTTCCAGTAAAGTTGCTTTTTAATTTGTATTCTGTGAACACCTAAATATTAATTTCAAGAATTTGAAAAGTTACAAGGATATTCTTAGTTGAATTATAAGTGACTTAGATTTAATAATATGGAAGTTTCTTTGCACCATTAAATTAAACATTTTAATACTATTTTATTTTTACAGGTTTTTCTCAAAACATTATATTGACTATTTGAAAGAGTTAAGGTTTATACCGGTGCAACACAAATACACAAGTATTTTGGGGGGCACAGGGCAAATCTCTGAGATCTCCATCTTGTGCTCCAAACAATGGGGAGTATGAGGTCTCTATGTCAAGCCTCCTGGTGTGGGTCTTTCTCAGAGCTCTCTGTAGAAGGTCTCTCACTGTGGGTCTTTGACAGAGGTATCTGTGGGATCTCTTAGTGTGGGTCTCTAACAGATGTTGCTGTGGGGGTCTTTATGATGTGTCTTTGTCAGAGAGCTCTGTTGAAGATCTCAGGGTAGATCTCTGTCAGAGGTTTCTCTGGGAATTTCTCAATATGGATTTCTGATAGAGATTTCTGTGGGAGACTGTGTCAGGTCTCTGTGTAGGTCTCTGTTAGAGCACACTATAGGTCTCTCTGTCAGAGGTCTCTGGAGGTCCCTCTGGGGGTCTCAGTCAGAGGTCTCTGTCAGAGATCTAAGTGGAGACATCTGAGTGTGGGTCTCTAACAGAAATCTCAGTGTGGATCTCAGTGTGGATCTCTGTGGGGTTCTCTGTCATCAGAGGTCGTGTAGGAGTCTCTCAGGGGGCAACTATGTCAGAGATCTCTGTGGTATTCTCAGTGGAGGTCTCTCTCAGAGGTCACTAATGGGCTCTCTCAATATTTCTGTCAGAGGTCACTGCGGAGTTATCTGTCAGAGGTCTTTCTGGGGAACTAGTAAGCAGTCCCTGTGGTGGTCTCTGTCAGAGTCTCTGTGGGGGTCTGTCTCTCAGTTGGGTCTTTGTTAGAGGTCTCTGTTTGGGTCTCTGTGAGAAGTCTCAGTGTGGATCTTTTTCAGAAGTCCCTGGAGATCTTTGTGGGGGTTTCTGCCAGAGGTCTCTATGTAGGTCTCTCAGTGTATTTGCCATAGGTCTCACTGTGGGTATCTGTCAGAGGTCTCCGGAGGTCTTTATGATTGTCTCTGTCAGATGTCATTGGAGATCTCTGTTGGGGGTCTTTGTCAGTGGTCTCTGTGGGAGTCTCTGTCAGACATCTCTGTAAGGGTCTCTCAGTTGACATCTCTGTCAGATGTCTCTGTTGGGGTCTCTGTCACAGTTTTCAGTAGGAGTCTGTCTTAGAGGTCTCTGTGGGGGCCTCTGTCAGAAGTGTCTGGAGAGCCATGAAGGTCTCTATCAGAAATTCCTGTGGGGGTCTCTGTCATAGGTCTTTGTGGGTCTCAGTCATAGTTCTTTGTAGGAGTTCTCTGTGTGTGAGGGGTGCCTATCAGAGATCCCTATGAGCATATGTCAGAGGTCTCTTTAGGAGTCTTTGTCAGAGTATACTATGGGTGTCTCTGTGGGGGTCTCTGTCAGAAGCCCCATGGGGGGTCTCTGTCACAGGTTTCTGTGTGGGTCTCTGTCATAAATCCATATGGGGGTCTTTGTAAGAGGTCTCTGTACAGGTCTCTATCAGAGGTCTCCATGGGTTTGGTTTCTCTGTCATAGCTATCTGTGGGAGTCTGCGTCAGAGGTGTCTGTTTCTGTTGGGGTCTCTGTCAGAGGTCTACGCGAAAGTCTCCCTTCTCTCTAGGTCTCTGTCAGAGGTCTCTCAGTGTTAGTCTCTGTCAGAACTCTCTGAAGTTCTCTGTGGGGGGTCTCTGTTACAGGTCTCTGTAGGAATTTCTGTCAGAGCTTACTGGAAGTCTTGTGCAGGTCTCTGTCAGAAGTCCCTATGGGGGTTTCTGTCAGAGTTCTGTGTTTGGGTCTCTCTCTGAGGTGTCCATGGGGACTCTGTCAGCAGTCCCTGTGTGTGTGTCTATCAGATGTCTCTGTGGGGTTGTCTCACTATAGGGTTCTCTCAGACATCTCTGTCAGAGGTCTCTGTAGGGGTCTCACAGTGGGATCTCTGTCAGAGGTCTCTGAGACAGTCTCTGTCATAGGTCTCTGTGGGGGAATTTCAGTGGGGATTTGGCCCAGAGGCCTCTCTAAATGTTTATCTGTGTCAAAGGTCTATGTGGAGGTCTCCATCAGAGAGCTCTACTGCTCTCTGTGTGGGTCTCTGTGGGAGTCTATCAGAGGTCTTTGTGAGTTTCTCTAACAGAGGTCTCTGTGGGGGTTTCTCTGAGACATCTCTGGAAGTCTTTGTCACAGGTCTTTGTGGGGGTCCCTCAGTGGTGGTCTCTGTCAGAGTTCTCTGTGGGTGTCTCTGTCAGAGGCTTCTGGAAGTCTCTGTTAGAGTTCTCTATGGCGGTCTCTATCAGAGGTCTTGGTGGAAATCAATTCAGAGGTCTCTTTGGAGGTCTCTGTCAGAGATCTCTGTGGGGCTCTCTAAGTGTGGTCTCTGTCAGAGGTCTCTGTTTGCCTCAGTCTGAGATCTCTGTGGGGCTCTCTAAGTGTGGTCTCTGTCAGAGGTCTCTGTTTGCCTCAGTCTGAGATCTCTGTTGGGTTCTCTGTCTGAGAACTCTATATGTCTCTGTGGGGATCTCCATCAGAGGTCTCTTTGGGGGGTTTCTGTCTGAGGTCTGTGTGGGGATCTCTCAGTGTAGGTCTCTGTTAGAGGTCTCCATGGGGATCACAGCTAGAGTTCTCTGTGGAGGTATCTCTGTGGATCTCTGTCAGAATTCCCTGGAGTTCTCTGTTGGAGTCTCTGGAAGAGGTCTCTGTGGGGGTCCCAGTGGGATTCTCATCAGAGGTGTCTCTGGAGGTCTCCATTGGAGTCTCTGTCAAAGGCCTCCGTGGGAGTGTTGGTGAGTGCTTTCTGGAGGACTCTGTGGGGAACTCTGTCATAGATCCCTGTGAGGTCTCTGCCAGAATTCTCTGTGGGGATTTCTGTCAGTGGTTTGTGTGGGGGTCTCTGTCAGAGGTCTCTGGAAGTCTCTGTATCTCTGTCAGAGCTCTCTGTAGGTCTCTTTAGGGGTCTCTGTTATGTCACTGTTTGTGTCACTATCAGAGTTATCTATGGGGGACTTTGTCAGAGGTCCTGTGGGGGTTTCTGCCAGGTATCTCTGTGGGGCCTCTCAATGTTGGTCATTTTCAGAGATCTCTGAGGTCTCTGTGTGGGTCTCTATCAGAGGTCTCTGTGGGGGTCTCTTGCTGAGGTCTTTGTGCAGATCTCTGTCAGAGGTTTCTGGAGAAGTCTCTCAGTGGGGGTCTCAGAGGGCTCTGTACCTGTCTCTGTCAGAGTTCTCTTTCTGGGCTCTGTCAGAGGTCTCTGTAGGGGTTTCTGTCAGACATCTCTGGGGGAATTTTGGTGGAGGGGTCTCTGTCAGATGTCTCTGTCATTGTCTTTGTGGAGATCTCTCAAAGATCTCTTTGCGTCTCTGTCAGAGGTCTTTGTGTGTATGCATCTGTCAGAGGTCTCCATGGGGGTTTCCCTGTGGGTGTCTCTCTTTGACATCACTGATCAGCCCCAGTCCTCCCGGGGTCCTGGCCCCCCTTGCTGCTGGGCCCCTGGAGACGGCCCCATCCCTGGCCGAGATAGGACCAGCTCCAGGAGCAGCCTGAGCGCTGGCCTGCTCCACCAGGCTTCACTCCCCACCCCCGGCAACCCTGGGGCCATGTGTCTGTAACAGTCACCAGGCTGTGATTCCATAGGTACTGAGAACTGGCTTTCCTGCTGGTCATCCAGTTGTCCTCTCTGGAATTCCAGAGGTGATGGTATAGGCTGGTCACGTATGCAGTGGGAAAAGCCACCTTCCTGCAACAGCTTTGTGCCCCCTAGTCCGGCCCCTCACCATGAGGCCGCTGCCCAACCACCTTGGCCTGCAGGTGCGCCGTCGGGCACCGCTTAGGGTGTGTATGCGCTCTGCTGCCTGCCCGGCTCCCACCTCTCCAACTCTTCTCCCACACTCCAGCCTCGTCCTCCAAGTGCCACCGCCAGATGGCTCCTGTGCATGCAGTCACACTAGAGGGGGAGGTGGGTGGCCTTGGAGGGTGGCTGCGACCCTGACACCTCCTTCTGTACCAAGTCACACTGGTCCTGTCTTGGCCACAGCTCTCAAAGGATCAGGCCAGGAGGGGCATGCTCCTGTCACCAAGGCGGAGCCCAGAGGGGCTGGCAGAGCCCATTTCTGCACAAGCAGGGGCTGTGAAGGGTCCTCTGATCCCCACCATAAAACCATGGGGACCAAATCTCTCCACTGAACCCAAGGCCAGCACCCCCAGTCCCAAAACTTCCCAGCCTACTTCAGAGCCTGTGAGTCCGCGCATTCCTGGAGCCTGAGGGGTATTTCTTCCATAAGCTGCACAGAGCTTGCAGCAGAGGTAAAGTGGAGAAAGACAAGGTGAGCCAGGTCCCGGGGTGGAGTCTCCATAGGGTTTGCCAGTCCTGCCAGTTCTGAAGGCTCTTTTTAATGACTGGGTTATGAAAACAAAGTACAGTGAGTGACCCCAGGGTGAGGGTGGGTCTGCAAGGCCCTGTCAGCCTCCTCCATGCCCCTGCCTTCTAGAAGCTGCACTAAGGGAGAGTGGACTCTGACCCCTTCCCTGTGTCCCAGCACCCCATGGACAGAAGCCACCTCCTCTGATGACAAAAAACACATCTATTGGGAAGTAATGGAAACCATTAGCATATAGAGGATGTGCTAACATGAGAAACAGGTTTTCTCTGCATGTATCCAGTTTATTATGGGAGATTTATGGGCTCCCAGGACTGGAGGTTGGAACCCCACCTGTGCCTCACCCAAAACCATATAATATGTACTTGTAGCGTCTGTTGAGTGCCGGGATCGAGGGAGGAAAGCCCCTGGGGTGTGTTCATACAGCATTTCTGACCCCTCTGGGGTCCCAGGTTTCTGGGTTTTGTGAGGGCGTCAGACTTTGCAACGGCATGGCTGGCGCTAAGCCAGGACCGCTGCACACGCACAGGGACCATGCCCTCACGGATCTCCCCCAGCTTCCGCTCCACGTGAGATTTCAGAGTTTTCTCAAGCTGCTGCTTCTGTGGGCCCCTGGGAAAGTTATTTCCTGATTTATACTCCTGGGGCCCAATCAAGTCACCATCTGCCTCCCCCTCCTCCTCCAGAACCTTCACTGAGGTATTTCTTGAACCTATGCATGGATCTTCTGGAATCTCTCCAGATCTTGCTCTTAGATCCCCACTTGGGTCCTCTTCTCTTTGGCCCCTAGGGAGCCCTTCCAAGAGAATTTTCCAGAGTGCCTGGACCCCATCTTCTGTTTACTCTCGATGCTTTCACCTGCAGACTCAGGAGGCTGGGAGGGTAGGAAGGCCCCGTGCTTGTCTTCTGCCCCACAAGGACCCCTCCCTGAGAATTCTCCCTGAGGACCAGACAGCTGCTCTGGTTTGTCTTGCATGTTCCAGAAGGGGCATGGGGTTTTGTCGTCCTGCTCCTCACCCAGTGACTTTAATATATTCTCCAGAGAACCCCAGGGGGAGTCTGGCCTCATTTGTTTCAGAAGTGACCCTTTTCTTTCTCCTTCCCCAGCTTCAATGCTGCTCCCTCAATGATGAATATTTCCAGGAGCTTCCAGACATCAGGGTTGAGGAAAGTGGGGCCACCAGCCTCCATCTGCCTATATGTGGGGTCTCCCCAGAACCAAGCCTCTGGTGGATGGTGGCAAAGAGGCTCTTCTGGGACTTGCAGGGTGGCAGGTGGGGGAGAACAGGGCCTTGGCGGCTGCCCACCACCAGGAGAGGAACAAAATGGTGCGTTCAAGGCCTGAGATGGCCCACATGGCAGGCACCAAACAAGAGTAACCTGGAGGTGAGCTCTTTGGGACGGTGCCTGGGGGGGATTTCTTCAAGTCAGATTGGTCTCCTTGAGGTTGTACTGACAGCATGGAGGCCACAGGCGGAGGGTGCTCGGTCAAGGGAGCTGGGGATGCCAATGGGGACGAGGTGGCAGGAGAAGCATCTTGCACACGCTCTGCACGTGGCCAGTGGGCACTGGCAGATACTGGGTTGCACTCCTCCCCAGGGGGGTCTGGGCATGAGAGCTGATGAGAGCCCCCCTTGTCAGGGAGCTTCACCTGGCAGCTGCAGGAGACAGGAGGCACAGGCTATAGCAGGGGTGGGTGGCCCAGGGGGCCAGGCAAGGGTGGGCACCTGCGGACCATGGCCCCTCCTCTGCCCCTACGATGATGTCACAAAGCTCTGCCTCTCCCCAGCCCCAGGGCTCTAGTCACACCCTGTCCCCATCCCTTGCTTGCCCCCCTCCCAGGTTGGCTTCAGGCCCTGGGGTGGCATCCCAGAGCCTGATAGGAAGGAGGACTGGGAGAGAAAGGGAGAGTCCCTCACCTCTGCAGAAGCAAAGTCAGGTCCCGAGCGGCCTGCAGTTCCCTCAGGCAGTCTCTGCATGCTGGAAATCAGGAGCTGAGTTCCAGGGCGAGGGAGGGGCCTTGGGATCTTGTAAGTGGCTTAATGTCCCTCTGGGGCAGACCATGGGGGTTGAGGCCCTGGAGCACACATCAGTGTCCAAGGCCACCTGACCCCAGCAGGAAGTGCAGTGGGCAGTGCTTTATCATATATGCACTGCTCCCACCTCCATCCCTCAGGGTCCTCACATGCTCCCTGTGGGGGAGAAGACAGGGGTCCCCTCAGAGAGGAGACAGCCTTAGCCAGGTCAAGCCGCTGTCCACAGTTGGGCCTGGGACCCCACCTCCACATCCAGGTTGTTATGGGTCCCCTGCCCCCTCCACGCCCTCCTGGGCAGCACCCCTTCCTGGCCCACCTGGCCTCCTTCCCAGCAAGGGATCTGAGAAGAAGCTTGGGTTCTGATTCCCTTCCCAGGAGCCTCCCCACCTGTCCAGGCCACTGCAGCTGACCTCCTCAGAGGCTCCTCCCTCAGGGACAGTGAAGCTAAGCGCCCCCAGGGGCTCCAGGCAGAGTGGCAGAGCCTTACCTATCAGAGAGCTGCTGTTGTCCCTGCTCTTGGGCCTCCCTGTCATCTCCACTGGGTGCTGAGAGACAAGACTGAGGGGCTGGGACCAGTCCTCAGTCACCTGCAGACAGGCTGCGGACATTCAGTGCTCATGGAGGACGTGACCTTCTGTGTCTGGCTAATGGACCCCTGTCTTCTTTTCTTTCCTTTTGCTCATTTTTAAAGTGTAAAAGTGCAAAGGGGGGCAGAGCCCGGTGGCTCATGCTTGTAATCCTAGCACTCTGGGAGGCCGAGGTGGGCGGATTGCTCAAGGTCAGGAGTTAGAAACCAGCCTGAGCAAGAGCGAGACCCCGTCTCTACTAAAAATAGAAAGAAATTAATTGGCCAACTAATATATATAGAAAAAATTAGCTGGGCATGGTGGCGCATGCCTGTAGTCCTAGCTACTTGGGAGGCTGAGGCAGTAGGATTGCTTGAGCCCAGGAGATTGAGGTTGCTGTGAGCTAGGCTGATGCCACAGCACTCACTGTAGCCTGGGCAACAAAGCGAGACTCTGTCTCAAAAAAAAAAAAAAAAAAATGCAAAGGAGGATTTTTTATGGGAGAACTATGGTTCTTTTTCTGTCACTGTTCTTATAAACTAAATCTTAAGCCCCCCAGCCAACTGAATGGACCCCCTCTTGGCCAAGGGGACTCCAGAAAACCCTTAAAACTGAATTGGTGGCCAGGAGGAGAAGGGAGGTCAGACAGGTTTCATTATATCCCTCCCTTTTGGAGTTACTCATTGTAACAATAAGATACTAAATCATTACTAGGCCTAAGGCCATGCCAGACAAAGGTCTCACCACACCTGCTGGCCATTTTACACAACAGATCTCTTGAGTGGTGTATATATCCCTGGCTTGTCTCTGATTAACAGACTTTCTTATCTTAACTTGAAACATTCCAAGCCTTTAGACAAAGCTTCTTATCTCTAACCAATTACAAATCAAAGAATCTTTGAACCCATCTGTAACCTATGAGCCCCCACTTTGAGATGTCCTGCCTTTGGGGCCAAACCAATATATATCTTTCAAGTATTGATTTATGATTTTACATGTAATTCCTGTCTCCATAAATGTATAAAACCAAACTCTCACCTGGCCACCTTAGGCACATTTTCTCAGAACCCCTTGATACCATGTGCTCCAGACCATGCTCATACACATTCAGCTCAGAATAAACCTCTTCAAATTATTTTATAGAGTTTGTGATCTTTCCCATTAACACTCTGCTCGAGAAATTCACTGACTCAGACCTTCAGGCACCTCTGAGCTGTCAGGCAGAATTCTGCTTCCCGAGGAGGCCAGAGGCCACTCCGGCCCCTGGTGGGAGGCGCTCAGGGGCTCAGCACAGCCCTCAGGTCACCCCACCCAGAGGAAAGGCTGGGCGGAGGCACCACCCATGGGAAGGTGACTGATGACCAGTGAAACCAGGGCCCAGTGCTGTCCTCCCACACAGGCCTCAACTCTCTCATAGTCCAGTCTTTGCCCCTGAGTCCCAGCATTTGATTTTGTCCTGATGTTTCCTGTACCCAGACGGGGGGGGGGGGGGGGTCTGAGAGCTTCCACTAGAAATCCTCTGCCACTCTGCCCCTGCCCTGCCCTGCCCTGCCTGGGCCCAGAAAGCTGAGGAGATTCCCATCTCAGGAGTCTTTAGTATATGTGGGAAAGTGGAAATAATAATAGAAAGAAAAGAAAGAACCATTCCCTGTTGGGTCTGGGCCAAGGGTTCCTTACCTTCCTGATGCTTCTTTGCTGCCCAGGCCGTGGTGAGGATGGGTTACTCTGGCGGCAGAGTATGAACAGGAGAAAGAGCCCCATTCCAAAAATAAAGACCGGGAAGATATTGGACACCAAGGAAGTGCATCTGGTGCCCATCCATGGGGGACTAATGCTTTTCAGAGGCAGGAGATTATTCTCCATCTTCTGAATCGCACTGTTGCCATAAAGCAACTGAGCTCTGGGAGTTTCCCTTGGGTGTCTTGACTAAGGCCCAGGCCTGCATCACAGAGCTGTGGGCCTCATCACAAAGGGCTCCTGAGGGTGGGGGATGCTGAGAGGAGGAGGCTGAACCACAGCCCCTCCCCCACCACCCTGCCCTGCAGATCCCTCCACCCTCTGGGCCTTCTGGATCCTCCTTCAGACTCCACCTGCTCAACCTGTCAGAGGGAGATCTCAGTCAATGTTCTATTCCACCACCCCCCAAACCAAGACGTTACCTGATTTCTTTTATCCCCTGGAGATCTTGGCTTGAGCCCACCAATTTCATAGGGTTTGAAAGTTTGAAATTCTCCCAGGAATTGTGCTTATTTTCTAGAGATTTTTACTCTAAAAATCTCCTCTCTCCTCATAATTTTCCCACATAATAGGTTTTCTATTTTCATTGATTGAGAAGTAGAAATGAACTTTAGTTTATACTTAATTTTGTGAAATTTGAATATTTTAGTTGTTATTGTTTATATTCACCTTTGCTATCTTTACTCATGGTCTCACACAAAAATTCAAAGTAGTGATTTATTACTTAAAATTCATAAAACTATGTTAATAAACATATAAATAAACTCCCAAATGATTTTTTTTAGTTAGTAACAATTCTCAGTTATAAAAGCTGCATAAAGATTTATGGAACTTTCTGTAACACACACACACACACACACACACACACACATGCACATATTTGACAAACTAATTCATTATTTTCAAATTGCAAGAATTAACTATTTCCTCCTTTGCTTTAAATCTACACTTTGCTTGGAATGAAAATGGAGCCCCAATAGCCAAAGCGATCTTGAGCAAAATGGACAAATCTGGAGGCATCACATTACCAGACTTCAAATTATATGACAAGGCTACAGTAACCAAAACAGCATGGCATTGCTATAAAAATAGAGACTTAGACCAATGGAAGAGAATAGAGAACCCAGATATAAAACCATCTATCTACAACGAACTGATGTTCGGCAAAGCAGACAACACATACACTGGGGAATGAAGCCGTATTCAATAAATGATGCTAGGAAAATTGCATAGTCACATGCAGGATAATGAAACAGGACCTCTATCTCTTGCCACTCCAAAAAATTAATTGAAGATGGATAAAAGACTTAAATGTAAAACATGATACCATAAAAATCTTTTAAATGTTGTCTCGGTCCCATTTTTGCTTACTCTGCCCAAAATACAGAGTTTTGGAACATATGTGCTACACACATAAACCAGGAATGTGTTAGGGTGAGTGGAAATACTGATCTTTAAGGTGGAGAGTAGTGTTGGAGAACTGAAGCCTGGGTTTCAATCTAGTCTTAAGAAGCCCCTTCTGCTATCTCAAATGTCTTCTACAAGAATTATTTTCTTCAGAGAGTGCCCTGACTTTCTCCTCCTGTCCCCAGGAGACCTTTGGAGCCTCAAGTGTGTCCTGTGTGTTGAGTTTTATAAGAAATTTCTTTCTAATAGTGTTAGACATCCCTTTGGCACCAGGAACTCATGATTAGAGATTACACTTGTTAATTCCTACATAATAAATTTTTCTTAATACTTGAAATATAGCCTTGAAAATGATATATATTCTCTGTTGGTCATAAGTTTTACAAGCTTTGATAGGAGTGAGACCATTAGAGTTCATTGGGCTAGATTGTCTTGTCATGATCATACATGTTCAAGGGCATAGCTTCTGAAGCTACTATTGCTTTTATCTGTGTACAGTCTCTTCATCATTCATGATATTGTTACTGGGAGGCACAACAGTCCCCAATGTGGTCAACTAGGTTAACTGGGAAGCATGGAAAACCCAATCAGGACCACTGGGATCATTGAGAGCCATAGTAAGTTCTACTTCATTTGCAGGGGACTGGAGACTGAGACGTGGGTCTCATCTTGACCTACAAAGTCAGGCTTGGGCATGTAAGGAGTTACCTTCCAACAGGACTCCTACCAGACCACTGCTATGTCAGTAGGTAGATCTGTCAGTGAGGAACAGGAACAGGAGAACAGAGAGAACTGGCAACATTCACCCCACATTTAGGTAAAACATGTGTTTTACCTGTCCTCTTTCTGGATAAACAGGAGCACTCTGTGCTTCTGGTGGGTTCTCTGTGACTGCAGTCTTTTGTGTGCATGTCTTCATCCATATGCCTGTACTCCACAGACTTGACTTTGCTGATACAATCTTAGCTTCTGTTTGTCCAACTGCTCATCCTATCTGCCTACTGCAGAGTTGGCCAGTATCCCCAGTGCCAGTGACCAGGCCACTGGTATGTCACAGGGAAGGGCCTGACCCCTCCTATGCAGGAGAAGAGCAGCCCGGCAGGTCGCTTTCTGGTTGTGTCCCTCAGCAGCCTTGGGCAGGGCCTCTTCAACAGCCCTGAGGCTTTTACTTCAAACCAACTAGATAAACCCTGTCCTTGGAGGGGTGGAGTAATGAGAGTTGATGCCCTGCAACAGCGTGTTGGTTTGGATCATCTGATAAAAGCAGAATACAAGGGCTTGCCCTTGGTACCCTGGAAGTTGCCACATTAGAGGTTTGTGTTCTGGGAAGGAAAATCTCAACCAGAATCCCTAACAATTGCACCAAAAGACACCTCCCACCAGGAGCTGCCCCACATAAGTGGGGAAAGATCTCTGAATAACTTTTTAGAAGCTCCCCCATAGCCACAGATCAAGCAATCTCTGAAGTATACTCTCTTAGGCCTGCCAATACCTGTTGCTTATGTCACCCCCTCTAAATAGATAATAGGGCTCAAGGAACCCCTGGGAGTGGCACTAAACTCCCCAAAGACTGAGATTCCTGTTTACCACATTTAGGGGTTTAGAGCTCATTACAAAGGTATTGGAATAGCTTGATAACCAACCCCCTCACGCAAACCACAAACAACAAAAAGAGAGAGTAACCTCATAGCTCATCACAGTGCCTCCCACCTCATACTAGTAGTTGTTAGGGGAGTCACACACACAAGAGTGATACAACTCCTGGGAGTCTAAGGAAGGGATACAAACTCACTAATCTCTATTAAAAGACCGTGAAGACAACAGGTCAAAGATAACCCAAAAGGCTCAAACACCTCTAAGACAATACAGGACCAGAGTACATATCCCCAGATTGGCCAAGGATCATTCCTTTGGAATCCCAGAATTTAGTTCATAATCCAGTCCCTGCACCTCCGGTTCTCAATAAAGCACCCAAATGAGAAAGAACCAGCAAAAGATCACAGGAAACATGAAGGAACAGAGAGAAAAGTCACCTCTCCCCCAAAATTCTCAATCTCTGTCAACTGACACCAACTTACATGATATGATTAAATTGATGGAGGAAGAATTCTGAATACGGATTGTTAGAAAACTCAATTGAATTGAAGAGAAAATAGAATCCCAACATAGAGAAACCACAAGAACAATTCAGGAAATGAATGAAAAATTCTCCAAAGAAATTGAAATAATACAGAAAACCAAAGAGAAATTCTGGCATTGAAGGAAACGATCAAGGAACTTCATAATACAGTGGAAAGCATCAAAAACAGGATGGACCATGCAGAGGAAAGAATCTCAGAGCTTGAAGATTATGCCTATGTGTTAAGCAAATCACAGGAAGAAAGGGAACACAGAAACATGAGACAAGACCAAAGTTTAAAAGAAGTGTGAGATTATGTAAAAAAGCCAAACCTCAGATTTATTGGGATTCCGGAAGGGGGAAGAGGAACATTCACAAGGGCTGGAAAACTTATTTCACAGAATACTGGAGGAAAATATGCCAGGCCTGGCTAGAAATCTTGATATCCAAATACAAGAAGCACACAGAACTCCTGGGAGACTCAACATGAAAAGGCAATCACCTCGTCACATGGTTATTAGGCTGACCAAAGTAAATGTGAAAGAAAGAATCCTCCATGCAGTGAGACGGAAATAACAAATAACCTATAACGGAAAACCTATCAGACTAACAGCAGACTTCTCATCTGAAACCTTACAAGCAAGGAGGGATTGGGTGCCTATCCTTAATCTTCTAAAACAGAATAAAGCCCAACCTAGAATTCTTTATCTGACAAAATTAAGTTTCATCTATGAGAGAGAAATAAAGTCCTTCTCAGATAAGCAATCACTGAAGGAATTTGCAAAGACCAGACCAGCCCTACAAGAAGTTCTCAGATCTGCCTTCCACACCAAAAAGGGCAATAGACACTCCTCAAAGTAAAATCTTCAAAGAATTAAAGGTTAGAACTTGAACTACATGATGGCTCAAGGAGTAAATCAAAGCAACAGGACTTCACCCAACAATATGAATGGAAATATTCCTCCAATTTCAATCCTCTCAATAAATGTAAATGGTTTTAACTGTCCTCTGAAGAGACATAGACTGGCAGAGTGGATAAAAATCCGCAAGCCTAGTATCTGCTGTCTACAGGAAACATATCTAACCCACAAAGATGCCTTCTGGATGAAGGTCAAAGGATGGAAAACTTTCAGGCAGGCAACCATTTTTTGAACACTGTGTGCCAGGCACTGTGCTAAGCACTTTACAGACACTATCTCACTCAGTCCTCTCAACAACCCTATGAGGTGGGTATTGTTATCCCCATTTTTCAGATGAGGAAATCAAGGCTTAGACAGGTTATAATCCTTGACAACGATCATGCACAGCTAGTACATGGCAGAGTTTGGATTTCAAATCTAAGCTTGACCTAATTCCAAAGCCAGTTCTCTTAGCCACTAAGCTGTACTGCCAGTCTGAGAACGAGGAAGCTAAGTCACAGAGCAATTAAGATCTATGACATAGCAGAATCACTGTTTGGATTCATATGTTTTCCTTTGCTAAATACTGTGCACTTTCCAATTACAACACGGTATGTTTCAACTTGTCAGAAGTCTGTGGCCATAAAACTAGTACCAATTTCTCTTATCAAGTTATTTGACTTTAAAATTAATTGCCACTGGCAGAGTCAGTGTGTTTTTGTAGATTCTCAGGGCAATGAGAGGAGTGGTTTTCCTTTTTCTCTATGCCTTTAGCTACTGTCCATTTCTGTGTGTCTGTGACTATAAAGGTGTCTCCAGCAGCAGTAACAGGAAGAGTTCAGTGCAGAGTATTAGCAACCCATGCACAGTCCTCTCCACCTGTTATTAAGAGTTCAAAATTAGGAGTACTGTCTGGTTAAATAAAGCCGATCCTTTCTATTCCTGTGATAATGACTGGATTTTAACATTATCTAATCCTAGGAGTGTAGTAAAGTAATGCTGCTTTACCATAAGCAAAATAGAACCTAGAATTTGATTTTCCTAGATGGATTGTCAAGTTTATATCTTTGCTGAGGATTTTCAGATTTCTTAATTGGATGTTTGAATGATCTATAATTTTTCAGATTATGCTTACATTTGAAATAACCTGTATGTTTCTCTTTGCTATTAATAGGTGTCATTAATATTTGATATAAAACATCAGCCTTTGGTACCAGTTGGGCAGCTCTGGGTGGAAATGCTGCGATTCTTTGCTTTAGAATTTAATTTGACTGACTAAGTGATAAGTATTCGTGTCAAAGAATCAGTATCTCAAGAATCAAAGGATTGGCCCAAAAAGCGCATTGGCATTGTAGGTATCTAACAATGTTTATCTTTAATTCCTCCCCCCCCCCCTTTTTTAAGGTACAGTATAACAGCATGCTTTTTATTTCGGTCTCTTTTCAGCTTCTACACGTAAGGTAGGTCTGGCCTCAGAGGTGAAATAAATAGAATCTTACATGTGTTACAGTGGATCATTTCAAGGAATGAACCTGTTCCCCCCAGGTTTTTAAAGTATAAGCAACCATAATAATGGCTGGTTGCTTTCTTTGTAAATTGCTTAGAAACTTAAGTGCTTAAAAAGTTTTTTCATAGTGATGCATGGACCCCTTTCCTCTTTACAATTCGCACTTCTGAAATTTTAAACTCAGTCCTTTTGTAAATTGTTGATATTGTTTACACTTGCAAAGGTAAGAAAAATACTTATTCTTTTGAAAAATGACATTCTCAGTTGGTTTCCTGAGAATGTCAGGAAAGGAAAAACAGAATACTGGAGGAAAATATGCCAGGCCTGGCTAGAGGGAATGAATAGTTATTTTTTGATGTATCTGCAGTAACATTTAGGACTTACTCATAAAATCACTTTTTTAGTGAAGGCTCATTTAACTGAAATCACTGTATCAAAGACACACTGATGTGCCCTGTAGATGTCATTAATGGACTAGCTCTTCTCAGCTTTGTAAAGTCAGGACATTTCAACCTTTATCCTCCTTTAAATAATTTAAAGAAACTCCTAAATGGAATTCTCTTATTTTTGCTTGATTCTTTTTAAACTTTATGCTGCATAAGAGGGTTTTCTGCATTTTGCATAAATTCTGTGTGCAATCATGGGGATCTCACATTTTTAAACCCTCCCCTGCAGTTTCTCTGGCTCAGCTTTTCTGGCCAATTGCCTAACCTGCTGGGGTTCTAGGGGAGGAGAAAAGATTGAGAGAAGGGGTGTCTCCTCCTGGTGCCTCCCTCTCGCCCCTGAAATTCAGTCCAGCCAATTCAGTGATGGGGCTTCCCGGGCAGAAAAGAGGAGGTAAGCTCGGCAAACCTCAGGGCCTGGCTGAGTGGGGAGGCAGAGCACTCAGCAGCAAAGCCTGTCGGGAAGACCTCGATTCTTCCCGAGGGCATGAGAGCCACATCTTTTCCACCTCTGCAGTCACAGAGCACGACAGGGAAGGGGTAGTGGTTCTGAACAGAATGTGTTTTCTTCTTAGAGCAGATGTTTCAGAAAATGTTGCTTTTTGTTCTTAAATGACATTTTCTTATTCCCCAGCCCCATTGGTTTTTAAGCATGTAAGATACATGACAAATTTTACTATTGTTTGTTGTCTATTTTTATCTGCAGCAGGCTAATTCTTAAAAGATGTAGTAGAAGTATATGAAGTGGTAGATTTCTTTTATTTTCTTTTTCTTTCATTATAGATACCTACTCTGTTAAAAGAAATGTGGCAAGGACCCTAAATAATCAACTCGTGTTTGAATATATACTTCATTGTTTAAGGACAACATATAAATACTTTGCTCTTCCACATAAAACTGGAAAATCCAGCCTTCCAAAGCCTCTGGATGTAGTTACATGTGCTTCAGAACATTCTAAAGAAGTAGTAAATCATGACCCAGCCATACCAGCAAAAGATGATAAGCTCAAAAACTCAGTTTTGGTCCCAGGTCCTGGTGCTACCAGTTCAACTGCAAATACCTGCAAAGTACATTCCCATACTCTTAAAGAGAATGCTGAAAGGTTTGGAAGCTCACCAACAGAGGAAATGGGAAATATAAGTATCAGTGTCCACCCAGAAAACTCCGAGTGTATCCAGGCAAAGGTCAATTGTGATGATTATGAGGATGTTAAAGTACGCCATCAAGAAAGAGACAGTAAAAATGAGAAAGAGAAAATTGGGAAAAAGGGCAAGCATCCTTTGACTGTTGATCAAGGTTTAAGAACTAGTGGATGTGGAGAGCTCATCATCTGTGGCAGCACTCTTAATAATGAGACAGACAACACTTTGGGGTTTTTTTGTTTGTTTTTTATTTCAGCATATTATGGAGATACAAATGTTTAGGTTACTTGTGTTGCCTTTCCCCCCTCCCCCTGGAGTCAGAGCTTCAAGTGTGTCCATCTCCCAGACAGTGCGCCTCACACTCATTATGTATGTATATACCCATCCCCTCCTCCCCACTCCCATCTGCCCGATGCCCGATAAATGTTATTCCTGTACATCCACTTAGGTGTTGATCAGTGAAACCAGTTTGCTGGTGAGTACATGCGGTGCTTATTTTTCCATTCTTGGGATACTTCACTTAGTAGAATGGGTTCCAGCTCTATCCAGGAAAATAGAAAAGGTGCTATATCACCATTGTTTCTTACAGCTGAGTAGTACTCCATGGTATACATATACCATGGTATACATATCCTTTGTCCTTGCTGCCCTCTACTGGGTACTGGGGAGAGCTGAGGGCTCTGTGCTCAGCTCCATGCTTGCTCTGAAAACCACGTGTCACAGCCCCTTACCCCTCTTTTTATTTTACTCTTATTATTATTAAACTTCCTTGTAATAGAAATAAAGTTTGTACTTGCAGTTCAAAAAAAATAGAATATAAAAAGAATATAAAATATTCTAGAATATAAAAACTGAAATTACATGCATTAAAATTGTTTAAGATCTTCTAGTTCTGAGGTACCATGACCACATGAAACTTCCATTTGCTGTGGCAGTGTGATTTGACCAGTCTTGACATTAGCAGGTGTCCTCAAACTATGGCCCGCATGCCAGTATAGTACTGGCACTGATTACCTTGCCTTTGGTGAAGATAAGTTTACTAAATTCATAGAAGAAATTGGACGGATCCACAGGTGAATTTTCCTCACAGGTATTTTCTTAAGACTTATTTTGTTAAGTTCCATTACTAGAGCTCCATCTACATGTTTTCCACATTCATTCGTGTCTTCATACCTAACAGGGTACTAAGTGAAGTAGCGGTGAACATAGCGCTATGTTAGTAGCACCATTTATCCTAGCAGATGCCACAAGTGAATCTCATTTAATATTACAACATGTTTAGAGTCAAAGTTCACACATCTCTAAAAAGTGCATTTATTTAGGAAGTAGTAAGCTTACATTATTAAATATGACGAGGTGATCTAACATTTTCCTTGAAATGTCCTTGCATTTAAGAATAAGTGGCACCTGATAATCTTTCTGGCCATATACAGCTTATATTTATTTAAAGGAAACTTTGAGAGGAAAAAATTTAGAATAAATGACTGATTAATAAGAGAACATAATTATGAGATTAATATAGGGTAGTTAACAACTGGGTATTTTTGATTCATGAAAGGACCATTTTGATCAAAAAGTTAAATATATCAGGTAATTAGTTATTATTTTTCATATATCCCTAACAGGAACTAAATTGAGCTTGTTTGGCTCCTCCAAAAATGGATTTGGGTTCAAGCAGAGTGACCCTGACGTCTGTATGACAATTAATGGACTTGAAACTGCTGAGGTACCATGACCACATGAAACTTCCATTTGCTGTGGCAGTGTGATTTGACCAGTCTTGACATTAGCAGGCGTTCTCAAACTACAGCCCGTGGGCCACATACGGGCCGCCTAGCACATCTATCTGGCCCTCTGGGTGTTTTTGCCGCCACTGCCTGTCCTGCTTAGCAGCCGACTCATCCCGGGCCCACAGTGCGCACTCTCCAACGGTCTGAGGGACAGTGAACTGGCCCCTTGTTTACAAAGTTTGAGGACCCCTGCATTACAGCTTGGTATTTTCCAACTATATCAGGACATACCATATGGTGTGTGCCATTTGACACAATCTATCACCAAAGATATTAAGCAGCTTAGAGGTGAATGTGAGGAGTAAAAAGGTTGTCCTTTCAGTCCTTTCACCTTATATTAGTACAAAGTGGATTGCAAAGTGAAATCTAGGAATTCTACAAAGCTAAACTACTTGCACCGACTTGGAAGCACATACCCAGACAAGGTTATCTGTAAAGGTTTTTACTAGACAGGCAATGTGGTAAATGATAAGAGTGCTAAACTTATAGTCCAGAGACCTGGCTTTGAGACAAACTTGGTTTCATCAATACTAAGACATATGATCTTTGGTAGATAAACTATGAAATGGAAATAATTTTGATTCCCTTTTAGCTCAGGTGATTATTGTACACATTAGTTTGGATCATGCATGTCAGGAATCAGCAAACTATGGTCCATGGGCTAAATTCAGCACCCAACTGCCTGTTTTTGTGAATAAAGTTTTATTAGAGCAGAGCCACACGGATTCATTTAGGTATTGTCTATGTTGCTTTCACTCTGTAAGTGCTGACAGAGTGTGACAAAGGCCATATGGGCCTGCAAAGCAGAACAAGTTTGCCAGCCTCTGATGTATGTGAAGACATTTATAAAATATAAAATACTGTATATATAATGATATAAAGTCTGAGAAGTGCTGAGTCTCTTTTCATCTGAACTGCAGTTCAGATGCTGGTTATCCAAATGAGTGATACTGCTGTTACTGAAGACCCTTTATTCCTTTTCTTAGTTTTAGTCTTTGTATTTTGGAGGATGTATCCAATTTGGGAAAACAGTCAAAAGTGATCTAGCCTGAATTAGGTGAATAAAGTAGATAAGCAAGACTGGTTCAACATACAGAATGACCCAATTATACATCCTTAAGCTTGAATTTTTTTTTTTTTAAACATGGCTTGTCAACTGGTTTTGAGGGCATTTCTGAAATAAAATTTCAAATATGTTCTGGGATGTGTATAACCATCAAAAGTGCTTCTGTTGATAGGGTCAACCTAAATATTTTTAATTATGATTTCTTTGAGATGCTATTTATTTTTGCTATATGACTTTAATTTGTACATTATTATTTTGGCTAGTCCTACAGGGAAATAATGTGAGTTTAATCACCCTTCATAGCAATTCAGTCAACTCTTAAACTATAATGAAAGTCTATCCAGAATAAATAAGAAGGGACACAGAAGCCCTTCTTATATGTTCCGGCACATGGGGTACTTCTGAGTGATATAATCGTAGAGTGGGAAAAAATGGAGGTCCTCAACCATGATTCAGAGCCTTTTTTGGAAACTGTGGGTCCCCAAGCTTGCTGACTAATTTTAGCCTTTGTCACATGTCCAAAAGCAATTAGGAAGTAGGGCATTTGGTGGGATATCTCCTATGAATACTGACTATGATACTCAACTAGAAGGGAAAAATATATATAGACTGAGTTGAAATTAATTTCATTACTTCTGAAGGTAATGGAAACTGTTTATAACCAATTTAGGAACCTGTGTTCCAGTTTTGGTTCAGTTGTTTGTGCCATCTTTGTTTCAGGGTTGGACTGGACTGTGTAAGGACTATTGAATAATTGGCAAGAGCGCTCAGAAAACATCCAGGTACCTCTAAGATGGCTCTTGTCTACCTGGTCTCGCCAGCCTTGCTCTCCTCCCTGCCCCACTGTGAGGGAAGCACCCACCCAAGCTGCTTCCTCATGCCTCCCTCACAATGAGAGAACATTATTCCCACCCAAAATGCTTTTCCCTTTGTCACCAAGCTTTATCGTCACCTCTTCCAAGAAGGTTCCCATCAGTTCACTTCAGGCAGAGTAGTGAGCACCTGCTCTCCACTGGCCGCGGGGATTCACAGAGAATCGGAGACAGGAGGCCCTGACCTCGGAGATCTCGGAGTTGACAAGGAGACACCAGTGACAGCGTGGTGGGTGTCTGTGCTTACTCCATGCTGGGAACTGTTGTAAGTAACATCGTCTTCACAACAGTCCAGGAAAGTGGGTCTGACAGCTTTTGCTTAGGTGAGAAACCCAAGCACAGCTTGAACAAAACATTTTGCCTAAGGCAGCACCAGGTGGCCGTGTGGAGCCGCACCAGGTGGCCTGGCTCCAGAGGCCGTGCGCCCAGCGGTCACGCCGCTCTCCCTGCCGTCCAGTTGAGGGCCGATGGGGTGTGCTTCTAAAAAGGCGTCCTAGAGGCTGCGACCCCTGAGCCCCGTCTTGAAAGACGGGATTTGGGGAAGAGAATGAACAATGGAGGGTCGAAAAAATGTCAAGGGAGGCTGAGCACTCAGAAGACCGAGGCCCAGAGGAGGCATAGGCAAGGATGGAGGATGAGGGACAGCCGGGACATCTGGGCTGCCCGAGGTTCTGTAGGCATTGGGGCCGCTGGAAGCACTGACAAGGGAGTCCCTAGAAAACAGTCACATTCGGAAGGGCCATCGTGGCGCTGGGGTGTGGACTGGGGGGTATGATGAGGGTGGGAGGAAGCTGCCGCAAAGCCTCAAACAGGACCCAAGGACGCCTTGCGTGGGGACGGCTGAGGAGGCAGCATGAGCGGGACGCCGGTGACAGTCTGACCGTCACTTAGTGGCTCTCGGCTGATGTTTCTATGGGCAACACTTTTATTATTCTTCGGTTGGGGTCTGGTTTCTGTCCCTTGCATACTATTGAAAGGTTCTTGAAGACAGGAGCACAGTCACTTCTTTTTTTTTTTTTTTATTTTATGCATGTGGGCCACTGGAAGCACTGACAAGGGAGTCCTAGAAAACAGTCACATTCGGAAGGGCCATCGTGGCACTGGGGTGTGGACTGGGGGTATGATGAGGGTGGGAGGAAGCGCCGCAAAGCCTCAAACAGGACCGAGACGCCTTGCGTGGGACGGCTGAGGAGCCAGCATGGCGGGACGCCGGTGACAGTCTGACCGTCACTTAGTGGCTCTCGGCTGATGTTTCTATGGGCAACACTTTTATTATTCTTCGGTTGGGGTCTGGTTTCTGTCCCTTGCATACTATTGAAAGGTTCTTGAAGACAGGAGCACAGTCACTTCTTTTTTTTTTTTTTTATTTTATTTTTTATTTCGGCATATTATGGGGGTACAGATTTTAAGGTTTCAATAAATGCCCATTTCCCCCCCTCCCCCCAAAAGTCTGAGTCTCCATCATGACCATCCCCCAGATGGTGCACATCTCACTCATTATGTATGTATATA